ATAACGAATATCCAGATCATGTATTTAAATTAAAATGAGCTTTATATGGTCTTAAACAGGCTCCTCGGGTCTGGTATGAAAGACTTAGTAAATTTCTACTTGATCATGGCTATTCAAGAGGTCAAGTGGACACTACTATTTTCATTAAATGTAAAGGAAAGCACATCCTTTTAGTTCAAATATACATAGATGACATTATTTTTGGTTCAACTAATCTACACTTGGTCGAGGAATTTTCCAAAGTCATGCAGGGTGAATTTGAGATGAGCCTCATGGGGGAGCTCAACTACTTTCTCAGTCTCCAAATAAAGCAGCTCAATGAAGGCACAATTATATGTCAAACAAAATATTGCCAAGAGTTGCTTAAACGATTGGGATGAACAACTATAAACCAATTGATACTCCCATGCCTACCAACGGAAACTTAGATAAGGATGAACACGGTAAGAGTGTCGATGTCAAGAAATATAGAGGTATGATCGGATCACTCTTGTATCTTACAGCATCTAGGCCTGACATCATGTTTAGTGTTTGCATGTGTGCACGATATCAATCGAATCCTAAGGAATCCCACTTGAAAGCTGTCAAGCGTATACTTAGGCATCTCAATAATACACCTAAGTATGGGCTATGGTATTCCAAGGGAAGCGATTGCAGTTTAGTAGGTTACTCTGATTCTGATTTTGCTGGATGCAAATCAGATAGGAAAAGCACTAGTGGAACATGTTACTTGTTTTCAAACTCTTTAAAAAGTTGGCATAGCAAAAAGCAAGTTTCTGTTGCTTTGTCAACTGCTGAAGTTGAATACGTTGCAGCCGAAAGTTGTTGTGCTCAGATCTTATGGCTGAAGCAACAATTACAAGACTATGATATTCAATTAAAACGTATTCCAATCAAATGTGACAATACAAGTGCTATAAACCTCACTAAGAATCCTGTTTTACACTCACACACTAAACACATAGAAATTAGACATCACTTTCTACGCGATCATGTCAAAAAGGTGGATGTTACGTTTGAGCATGTTAATACTAAAAATCAACTTGCTGACATCTTTACAAAACCACTTGCAACGGACCTCTTCTTCAACATCCGCCGTGAGCTAGGGATTTTAGCTCTCTCATATGTGTTGTCATAAACATATATGTAATTGAAATATATCTATGTCACACCATACTGTTAAGATGTGTTTTTTCAGCTTTAGTACGAGTGTTCTCTTATCAAATCAAACGAGGTAATATCCTTCCTATCTTCACCCTCAATCACCTATAAGTTGATCTAAATGTTCACTGAAAATGTCTTCGTATATCTCTTTTACATAAATTGTGCTTATATAATCTAACTTTTTATCTACCAATGCATTACTTTTAACGTGATTACTTTATGTTTACTCTGCTATTTACTCACTTATTGATAACTTTATGCCTGAAATTCTTTGTGAATGCCAAGTCCATTAACTGCTGAAATTGTATATAAATTTTCCTATGTGCTGAGTTTCTTGAAAATGTTGCTTATTCTCTTTTTGATATGGTCAAAGGGGGAGAAGAAGAGTGTGTCAGTGAAGATTATGCTTGCATTAGGAAGAAGATACACAAACTCAGGGGGAGCAAGCTTTTTTCATTCACGACACATCATCAGATATTTTCCAGATTTTTTCATTCACGACACATCATCAGATATTTGCCATCATCAAAAAGGGGGAGTTTGTGAGCAACCCCTTCATAGATTGATTTTGAATGATTGCAAATATAATATAACATGTTTGAATAAGCCAAAATTACATTTCTCTCATAATGCATCTTTATGTGTCGACACATCAAGTTTTGTATCGATACATAGCCTTCTGAAGTCCCTGGACTTGTATCTCAAAACTATTATGTATCGATACAAAAGCTTATGAGTCGATACATAACTCTTTGATGACCCTGGAATGTAAATCTAAAAACTGCATGCATCGATACATACATTCCATGCATCGATACATAATATGTTGATGCCCCTGTAATACTTGTATGAATCGACACAAAACCTTATGTATCGACACAAAACCTTATGTATCGACACAAAACATTCTGATGATCCTAGAAAACATTTTGAAACTTATATGTACCGATACATAATAACATGTGTCGACTCATACTATGTTTCAAATTCAAAATTTAAATTTACAATCAGTATGTATCGACACATACGCATTATGTATCGATACAAAACATTTTGATGATTCTGGAAAACATTTTGAAACTTATATGTATCGATACATAATATCATGTATCGATGCATACTATGTTTTAAATTCAAATTTTAAATCTGCAATCAGTATGTATCGACATATACGCATTATGTGTCGACGGGTATAAAAGTGTTGGTTCTGTAAAACACTATAACAGGTTTTTGTATCGACTCAAAAAATAATGTATCGACTCACCCTGTTACATGTAACTAACATGAGTCGACACATGACCAACATACATCGACTCATGCACTTTCTTTTTTGACTAACCGTTTTCTGTTATAAATATAAGCAAGCACTTTCTTCAGAAAACAACACAGCAATATAGAAGATTGTGTGCAAAACAATAGTGAGCAACCATAAGCTTTTGATTCCTTCATCTTCATCATCTTCTCAACCATCTTACATTCAAGAACAACAAAGAAAATCAAACATCCTTATTGAATTGATTCAAGCGGTTTGAGATAATGTTCAGCCGAGTATTGAAGAAGTCTAGCTGAGTTGAAGGTTGAAGAGGAAGCTTCAAAAAATTAACCAGAGGGTTTGTCCTTTAAGAACGGGTGTGTTCTTGAGGGTTTTGTCAGTCACAGTCATGCGAGTCGGATTCAGCCGTAGCGAGGGGTTTGGAAATCAGAAGGATTTTGAACAAACAGGTCGTAGAAGCAGAGGATCGTTCAGTGACTTTGTAGGGAATCTTGATACAGCTCTTATCAAGTGGTAGTTCTTACAAGAAGAAGAAGATCATATGAATTTCTGTCTTTTTCTGTAATGTAACCTTGCTATTAAACATTCAGCATATTGATATAAAAGTTCTCAGTTTCGATTGTGAAATTGAGAGGGAGACGTACCCACACGCGAGGACGATAGTGGGGAACTTCCTTACCAAGCTGCCTGTGTATCGTTCTCTCTTTTCTTTCTCTTTACAGTTTTACATATTCTATAATTTTGTAATTCAATTGGCGTGCTAAGTTTTACAGTCTAATGATAAACATAGTGGCTCAAACATTTTCACCAAATTACCACTATTAAATCATTATACAAGCATACGCCAATTGTTTGACAAAATTCCTATTATATTTCTAAATTCATTAGAAATTCTGTTTTATGATAAGTGCATTGAAACGTCAAGATTTCTGAGTTGTATATTCATCCATTCCATTTAATAAAATCCAGCAAAGTTTTCACATGTGAAGCTTTCTAGTAGTCAGTTCAAAGTAGACAGAATTGATTCAGGACATTGATTTTCACTGCTTTCAACTCTCTTTGATAAAATAATTTTAAATCCTTGAAAAATAAGAAGTGATCTATTCACTCCCCCCCCCCCCCCCCTCTCGATCACTTGCCACACCGTCTAATAATGCTCTGTACAATTGTGACCCTTGTAGTCATTTTTTTAAAATTTTCGACTAGGGTGGTCTTTATGTTCTAATCTGCATCGTTTAAGTATTTTTAACTTTATTGCATGCATGGTTTCCTGATCATGTGGGATGTTTGCATGTCTTTGTATGTTTGTCTGCTTGAGACGTTTTATATTGATTAAGAATTTGTGGGGGTTTGCTCATTAATTTTTGAGTTCGCCAGTGTGGGGAGACTGGACAAACGACCAAGGTAATTTTCGGGCGTGGGTCGGAACTCTGGTCTCATTTTGAGGGCTCGAGCTCAGCAGCGTGAACTTCCTATCGTGAGTTGGGTGTTCTACCAACGTGGTACGACGACGGTGGGGCTCGTTTGAGTTTTCCACGTCGGACTAAGAATTTGCTCGTCAAAGAGTGGGGACTTGTCTCTTTGTTTAAGTTTGAGTGTCATGCTTGTACCTAGGCATGCACGTGTGGTCGGGCCAATGTGTGTTCGTTGTTTTGACGAGACACATCGACTGCTTAGTGTTTTAATTATAATATTGTCTTAGTTTTTCGGTGTTCCTAGGTCGAGTAAGTTGTTCCTCCTGTAGGCTTTTCAGGTAGTAGGCTTCATTCCCCGTTTTGGCATGAACGCGATAGGGGTCTTTCCAATTTGCGGCAAGCTTACCTTCGCGGGAGTTTATATAATGCCTCCGACGCTTGGTCATTGGTCCCTATTTTTGGACCTAGATATGCGGGTCCGCAAAAATAGATAATTGTCAGAACTTGGTCAAAATGAGCAGTCCTGTCCGTAACTAGTCGTTGTGTCGAGCAGGGATGAGATGACAGACAGACGCGTTTATGAGCATCTCCTGAGTGTCTGCTTTTCGTGCGTCGAGTAGACTACGAATTCCTCGCCCTTGTGGGCGGGTGTGCGTATCGGGCACCGTTGGTCATGCCTCTCGAGAGCGTGGTCGACCAGAGATGTTGGATCAGTGTTATTGGATCGTGCCACGGGTAGAAGTAGATTGATCTAATTCTAACTATTGGATCAGTGTAATATATATATATATATATATATATATATATATATATATATATATATATATATATATATATATATATATATATATAGTTCTCAATAAAAAAAATTATGAAATTGAACCATAAAATAAATAAAACTTGAGTAATAAATACTTCAGCCAGGATTCAAACTTAAAATTTTTGAAAACGATTATATCCTTAACTGGAGCTCATTAAACATTGAGCTCCATCATCTGGATGCAGCATACATTGATATAAACTCTGATAATATAAGTTTAATATATCTGGCCGGCTTTATATGTACCACATATAACCTCATCATTATACAAGTAAATTAACCAAAACAGATTTATTTAGTATCTCATAGCTTATGATTATTTTACTAATCAAACCCAAAGTGCTCCTGCTCTTCTAAGCATTGGAATCAAAGTCCTATTAAGATGAAGACTCATAACTTCATTAGCTCCACCAACAAGCTCACCACCAATGAACACAGCAGGAACAGAAGGGTTACATCCAAGTCTTGAAAGTGCTTGCTCAATTTCTCTCCCTCCATTTATCTCATCAAGCTCATGAACTTCTGGATTCACTCCAAAATCACTTAGAAGAGTTTTGATTGTGTGACACATGCAACAACTACTCTTGCTGAATATCACCACTGATCTCTCTGATGCCAACCTTGTCACCCTCTCCATATTATATGTATATTGAATAATGTATGAATGTGATACTTGGTGATTTGGTGTGATTAAGCTAGAGGTGAATGTTTGTTTATATAAGGATTTTGAGCAAGTGTTTTGTTGAAGAATTGCATTTTTGTGGCCGAGGTGAAAAGATTGAGAATGTTCTATTAGATATTTGGGTCGGTTTCTACTTTGAACATATAGCATTTGTGTGAAAGTGAATTATGTGACCAAAGCTTTTTATGGAATCGATTTCTATCCATAATGCAAGAAATTGGAACAAAGATTTGTCCTTGGTACGGCTTCCCAATAACTCAAGAGTTTTGTGCACTATTTTGGTACGAAAAATTAATGAACAATTTTCATTTTTCTTTTTTCCCTTCATTCAATATATATCCAATCTCCAAGTGGAGAATAATGAATATAGATTGAATTAAGGACACTTTGTTACAGTTTTTAAAAAAAATAATTTTTGGAGTGTTATATTTTTTTTATTTTTTTTTTATTTTAAAAAAAAATTGAAATAAAAAATTGATTTAAATAGTTATTCATAAAATATTATTTAGATATTTTATTATTTATTATAAAGTTTTTTGAATATCAAAATTTTAATTAGAACTATTCTAAAATATATCTTTTTGAAAATTATGTGATTTTGACTAAATTTTAATCTTGAATAAATATATTAGGTTTAATTTATAAAAAATTAATTTAAAAACTTACAAAAAAAAATAATAAATTTGTTTTTTCTAAGCCTAAAACAAACTATAGCTCTAATTAGTAATTACATAACTTTTTTCTTTAAAAAAATGAGTCTGGTTTTTATGGACAGAGTATTGAATCAATCATAGATGTGATTTTAAAACTGCTTTAAATAAAATTTAAATATTTTTAATGATTTTGATAGTTATGATTTAATGACGAATATAAATTAAATCCTAAAAAGTTAACTACACATTTTATTATGTAGTTAGTTTTAATTAATTTGCTAGCATCAAGAAAACTAAAGGACCTGTGTTAAGTAGTAGTTGTCTTTTGTGCCATATTGTTAACTATTTTTTCTTAAATATATTTACCATTTTTACCCCTTATAAATATGACATATCGGATTTCTGTCTTATCTATCGTAGAGGTATATGATGCCCTTGGAGAAAAGTTGAATTTATCCTATTGGAACCTGTTTTTTTTTTTTTGCTATTCGCATCCAATTCTGAAAAGGATGTATGATATAAAAATTTGAAGAAAGATCTTAATAGTTCCATTGGAATGAATTCAACTATGCAAAAATGAACGAAAATGTGAGATGTTTTTCACTTTGTTTACACATAAAATAATGCACCGCTCTATTAATTAGAGAATAATTAGAATACACAAATTTTTATTAAGTAAAAACAATTGTCTTTTTTATAAACAGAAATTTAACTCATATTATTAATCAAATAATATTCAATATAAGAAGGAATTACATGAATAAAATTATGCATAGATCGAGAATCAGTCGTCTTCGCTAAAATATGAGTAACTGTATTTATTTGGCGTTTACTTCAAAATTAAGATAAGATTGTAATAAATTATGGATACACAAAAGAATAAAACTAAACTGGGAAATGTCATTATGATTGGACCGAATAGCTTGACACTTTCATAGTCATTTTCAAAGATAACATTTTCCAATTGCATTGCTATAACACCATGAATTACCTCTTTGAAAGCCAATGCTACTGCTTCTAGAATTAGATGGAGACCAAAGTCCCATGCTACACTTGCAAAGACAAATCTACACAATTTATCTCTCACACACTAGCCCCTATTTGTAGTGTCATGAGTTACGTTAAAACTCACATCTATGTGCATTTCAACCTCTCTTCTTCCCGCGGACACCATGTCGTTAGAGAATGGTGGGCATTCTCTCTATCATGACTCTCTTGAACTGTAAATCAATCACGTCAATTACAATAAGACTATGAATCAAGTTTAGATGTCTCATCTTGCTCATTATTTCAAATCAAATTATTTTTATTCTTCCAAATCACATTTAACATAACTGCTACTCTTCCTACCATCTTCCTATCCTCATGACTGCAAATATTGAGGATCAAAGATTTAGCATCATCAAAAGAACGTAAACAGGGTTCAATAATATGCAACAAGCCTTCTGCCCGCCAACACTGAGTAGTAACATCATATCCAAAGAGAAAAAGTCAATCATCTTCTATAAACTTTTGACAAAACTGACATTGAATATTGAACATGATGTTGTCGGAGTCTCAATCTAATCAGTAGACAGCCCCTACATATTCTTTATAATAAATATTTGACTCTAGAAAATAGCTTAATATTTAAAAAGTTACTCTAATTCTAATTCACCCTTGAAAACCCGAACTTCCTTAAGACTTCTGCCATAGTCTTTTAAATTACTATTGAATAAAAACAATTTTGATCTATATAATCATAATATCATAATTAATTCGAAGTTAAATATATTTTTAATTTTGATGATTTTTATTCTTTATTTTACATTAAAAAAATTATAATATCAATATTTTATATAAACTAAAATTATATTTAATTGATAATTATAATAAAAATAAATTATTGATAATTATATTTAATTACTATTTTTTTTTTAATTTTAATAATAAACGACTATAACTTAACTAACATAGTATGAAAAAGTTGACAACTTAACTAGCCATAGAAAGAGAACTTCATGTTCGATTTCTCAAGTGGTTTATTTGAGGGATAATTCAACATATTGATAAAAAAGCTTCAAACATTTAACTATAAACTTTAACATTAGTTTCATAGTAAATTCCAAAAAAAATAGTTGTAAAAATATCTGAGAACATTATCTAAAAATCAAATATTTTAATTATACTAATAAACAAATAAAACTTAATTTTAAATTTAGCTTAGATCTCACATTATGTTGGAACTATTCTATTAAGATCAATAGAACATTCTCTGAAATGGAAGACACGAACTCAATTGGGAAATATATTTTAGTTTTATTTATTTTTATAAAGATAGTTGATGAATAGTAGTAGTACTCACAACAACATTTGCAACCATTTTCTTATTTAATTGTTGAAATTTCTTGAATTTTACCATTTAATATTTTATTTTATTTCTTTATAGGTAATGATAAATAAGAGTCTAATTGTGAAATATATCAGATACTAAATGTGATTGATTAAGATTAATAGAAATTGAAAATGACTAAGAGAAAGATAACCACTATAGATCAAGTTCTAGATAAAATTCTTCTCAACTTTCAGAAACTTAAATGAGTAAAGAAACCTAAATGAGTAAGGTTTAAGCTAAATTTTTTTTTTTCACTAATTTGTTTTTGTTATTAAGAGAATTTTGATCTTAATGTGAAAGTTTATAGAATTTGTACTTTTTTTATGGTTAATTGTTATATTATTCACACACCGAGGCAAACAAATTTTTGGATACCTAGAGCCCCTTAGGACTACTCCATTATATTGCAATTATATATCCCTTGTTAACCTTTTTTTTTGTTTTAAAACCAAATTACATGTTTTTGGATTACAAATAATTGTAATTATTTTTATCTTCTTGGAGCTAGGTAGTCATAACTCATAAGAAACATAATAACCTTTGAAAAATTTTAGGTTTGGAGTTGCTCGTGGAATATAAAATTTCTAAGTTTGAAGTGGTAGTATTAATAGAAAATAATGCTAAAATTAATGGACTAAGATAAAAAATACATATGGTGAAGAATGATACCCATCCAAGTAAAAGAAAAAAAGAAAAAAATGATTGAAAAAAATGAATTAAAAAAAAACAGTTTTCTAACAACTTGGAAACATTGGGGATTCATCCATGTTAGTTTAAAGGTTTAATTGCTTTCTTATATTGAATTGGTCATGAATCCCATAAAGATGAATGACTAGGTCCCTTAGATTAAGTCTTCGCGAATGAATTTTCTCTCAATAATGTGAAACATGTGATTCATTTAGATATGTTATTTATAATTAAGAACTTCTTGTAATTAATCCATAATATTGTGTTTAATATTTTTTCCCTATCTACGCAATTTGTGGAATCGACCTAGATGAATATTGAGAACTAACCCTAGATTTTCTTTTGGAATTATATATTTTGGGAGGTCACTTATGATATAGTTATTTTAAGTTCTGTCATACTTTTGTCAGTTGTGACTTTGCCTAAGACATTGGGAGATTGTCTAAGATGATGCAGGTTTTGTGACGAGATATCACACGTAACTATCATATAAAATAGTTGTTGTATAAGAAGACTCCTTAAAATTATATTTTATCGATGACAAAATGTCAGACACAATGTTGAAACAATGTGTATGACAACAAGATTGTGTAACAGGAAAGATAAAGCGTAAAATAAATAACACAACTAATTGTTAACCCATTTCAATGTAAAGTCACGTGGGACTAGGGGAATCAACAAAATGAAAGGAAATTCACTCTTAGTAATCAATAGTACATAATGGTCTTACTTGAACTCTCCTAGTTTAATGTCGTTTTCCTAATAATACCCGTGAACTTCGATCCAGGCTCTCTCAGAATTCGAGAACCCCCCCCCCCCCCCCCCCCCATCCACTTTCATTCAAACATTCTCCCAAGTGTTCGTAAAGTCAAAAAATATATATTTGAAGTGATGAAACTTAATTAACACACATATATTGGATTCTCATAACTTAGAAAGATAATCCAGGAACAAAGTATAAAAATTCAAAACACAAAGACTCAACAATGATTAAAAAGCCAAGTTAAACACTGCCTAAGTCTTCATAAATGAGAACTCCTGCTTAAATAGGAAAAAAAAACCCTAACATCAAATCCTAGTAGGGTTTTAGCGTGTAAGCGAATGGAAACCAAAAAGCACACAAAATATCAATCGTCATAAAGTTGAATCTGAATCTTGATTGAAACAAATCAAATTAAATTTGAATATGATATGAATGAGAATTCTAATCTTGCTAAAACATATTCACGAAAAATCTTTTC